TCCAATTGTCTAGCTGTGACTAATCTTCGTGGATGGCCAGGGGATCTTCAGACTTCCTCTCACCCCAGGGATTGACCTTTCTCCTGGCTGCCCAAAGCAACATGCCTTAGCTGTCAAGGAGGGGTGAGTGAGCACTTGTGCAGCATGTCTTGGTTTCTGTGGCAAAGCAATTTTCTTCAGGGAAGTAGAGAGCATCAATGTCCAATTGTCTAGCTGTGACTAATCTTCGTGGATGGCCAGGGGATCTTCAGACTTCCTCTCACCCCAGGGATTGACCTTTCTCCTGGCTGCCCAAAGCAACATGCCTTAGCTGTCAAGGAGGGGTGAGTGAGCACTTGTGCAGCATGTCTTGGTTTCTGTGGCAAAGCAATTTTCTTCAGGGAAGTAGAGAGCATCAATGGGAGTGGGGGAGGAGGCGGGGAGAGCATTTCTCTGCTGCACTGTAGTGACACAGAATTTCCTCAGGAGTAAACTAGCAGTGGATACAGAAAGGATACATTATTTTTCTTGGTTTGATGAAGAAACTTTATGGTAAATTCTAAATACATGTTTACAGACTGACACAAACCAGACATTCAAAAGTGTTTGATTTGTGGCAACGAATTGTGCCTTTTTTTTAAAACTTCCACATGACTCTCATCAATCAAGGCAGTTATCTGAGTGGCATTTCCTTTTAATGCTTTAATAATTACTATCAACATGTAAACTCACCATAACCTAACTTTGAGAAGGTTTGCATTTGAAATCATGAATTTCTAGTGACAATCTACTACGTATTTGAGAGAGTTTGTGTTTCTGCCCACCTGTGAGTGTGTGTTCAAGAACTTCTCCTAAAAAGTGCTAAGAACAGCACATTTGGTGTGCCATTTTCTCTTATCCTAACTTACAACAAAACTCTTACCTTGCTTTATTAGGACAATGGGATGAGCCTGGAGTGCAATTGTTTCTCATAAAATGGAAGGGGAGGGAGGGGGTCTGTTAGTACAGTTATACTGTATAAGGACCATAAAGAAGACAAGCAAGAGACCAGAGATGGCAACCAGGACAACTATAACCCCATTGGGACAGCAGGGGGCAGTGGTGGAGAAAAGGACTGAGTGTGAGAGTTTGTCTATGTGTCCGTCTGTCCCTCATCAATGGGACATGCGCCACTCCCTCAGCTGTGCCTACTGCAGAAGCCACAGACAGGCACTTCTCACCTGTCCCCAAAATGCTGCAATGACAGAAGGCTGGGGCTGTCCTCTCTCCTTTGGGCAACCTGCATAGTGAATCCCTCATTCCCAGCCCCACCCCCAGAGCAATGATTTAAAGAAAACAAAAATTATTTTAGCTAAGGACCTGAGCAATGCAGGGTAAATCCTTTAGTATAAATCATAAGTGTGAAATGCAAATGGATGTAAATATGACTTACTATAGCTTCAAATCTGAGCAGATTTTACTTTATAACATTTGCTTGATTCTATTAATATTTTAATTATTTTGTCTTCATACAGCTTGATCAATTTCCACCAAAAAATTCTGCTCAGATGCTTTAGAATATTTTAAGACATTTTGCTGCAAACAGTAATTTCTTCTTGAACCCATGTACTTATTTCACCCATTTGTAAGATGCCTGATACAGAGTCCAAAGAACAAAAAGAGTCTATTCAATAAAAATAAACAAATCAAATAACCACCAGCAGCTAGAATATGTTGCAATGAGAGCAGTTTTTACATCTCCCATTTCTTTGGTCAACTGAACTCCAAGTAGTCTTGTCAGTGGCAGTTTATTATTAGCCACAGAATTGTGTAGTCAGAAGAAGTGTTCTCCTAAAATAGTGACTATCAAGCGATATCCCAAGAGTATGTGATATCACAGAATCATAGAATATTAGGACTGGAAGGGACCTCGAGGGGTCATTGAGTCCAGTTCCCTGCCCCCATGGAAGGATGTGATATGATATTGCTGTTTGCAAATCTCTAGCTTTGATGGGGAAAATGCATTTATAGTTTGTAATCTTATTTCCAGAGAAAAACTACATTAATGATGGAGTTACAGTACATATTTTAAAGTTCAAATCAACAGGGACGGAATCATCTGGAGAACAAAAATAAATGCTGAAAATTCAGGTTAATCTTACACACTGGTTTGATGCAAAGTGGTGTGCTTTATTCAGTAAATTATAATTCTTCTAGTCTCACTTTGCTCCAGTGCAATGTATCGGATTTTGAGATTTCAGTGGTAAATTTTCCCCTAATTTAGACAAGTCCTAAATGTAAATTAGGAAAAAGTATTTCATTGCTATTTTACATTTTCAAAGCCTATGGATGAGTTTCTTGTATTTCAGCATGAGGCAGTACTGTGGACCTAACTAAAAGAAGGTCACTTAGGACTTTCTGATACATAAAAGTGCTAACCCCACTGACCTCAAACAATGTCAAGGTTAGCCAACACCAGAGGTAGACACCAAGCTGTGGAAGAGAACTATAGATATGTAGCAGCATCTCACCATTTGGCAAGTTTCACAGGCAGTTAAACTGACAGCTCCAGTAACACAGAAAGTTTTATAGCCTGATTCTTGCCTTTTGAATTCAATCAGTGAACATGACCTCCCAGGCTGTTTTATTGCTCATACTTTATGCATGAACAATTAACAGTTTCTTTTATTCACTACTGTGCTACTTGAAGTTTCCAACAATGAAGAAAAATCATTAGTGAGCTTATAAATACAGTAAGCCTCCTTTAAAGATATCATTATAACACAAAGACTGAAGTGCTACTGCTGTGCTACATCATTGGCTAAGCCCCCAGAAGATACTATCTTCTCTACTGTTAACATTCAGATACATTTCATTGTCATCATTTCTATGAATCCGATTCAGAGGTCAGAGGATGGTACAGATTAGAAGAGCTGTCTGTTCCATCTGTCACAAAACATCACTTTCAGATAAACTATGCGCAATTATATTATCAAATACCCTCCAGTTTATACAGCTGGCTGCATTTAGAAGAAGTTCTATCAGGCAGGAAATTCAGCTGCACACCATGGTTTACCTAGATCCCGCAATGGGAAACTGAACATGAAAGTGATTCGTGACAAACACTAATTGTCTGCTCTTTTTCTTTGTGTGGCTTTATATGATGCCTGAGTGTAAAAACTGGAGCTGTGCCAACAGGATAATCATTCATGGGTAACCTAGAAGAAACCCAGACCCACTGCAAGAAGGTTGGGGGAGGGCAGACAAGAGCTGGCTTTTAAGCTGGCTCCCCACCAACATCAGCTCCTGCCTGTCCCTCCCCCTGCCTCCGCAAGAGGGTCTACGGAGAGGGTCTACGGAGAGGGCACGCGCGGCCGACTCCCCACGCATAGCAGTTCCCACCTACCTCCCTCACTGCTGCTGCCTCTCTTTATGACGCAGCACCGCAAGGAGGAGGAGAGGAGTGGCTCATGCCCCCCCCCTTGCTGTCTGATAAGCCAGGGCATATCAGTTTATCATATAGTCATCTACAAGTTGACATCCCTGTTGTTGTAATGTTGTATGTTACAACAATAGAAGGGTTTTTTTCTGTCACTGTAGGAAATCCATTCCCTCGCGAGATGTTAGAAGATAGGTTGATGGAAGAATTCTTCTAACATCTCTATACTGGATGTAAGGCAGTTTAACAACATTTCTCAGTGGTGTGGATTTTTCTCATACCTGAGTGATGCAGCTAGGTTGACCTAAATTTTAGGTGCAAACCAGAACTCAATGTTAACAGGGATCTATATTCTGCACCTTAATTTGAGTCTCCAATTCAACAGAGCAATTTCAACAGCCAATGGCTTCCATCGAACAGTTCTTTGAACTATGAGTAGAGAGGTGCTGGAAGTTGTCTCTCCACTAAATCAGGTAACAGAGATATCACATGTTCTCATTTCCCTGCCTCCAGTCCTGCAATTTCCCCCATAATCAACAGATATCCTAACACTGATGCCTAAAATATTTCCTGAAATTTTGGAATTGAAGGGATGTGGCATTCAAAAAATATTCACACAAATGCCACCAATTTGAATGTATGTAGAGCCTTGCAAGCTTGGCCAATAAAACTTGTATTAAATAGTTCATAAATAATGTAGAACAAAATCTACAATCCCAGGGCATTACTAAATTGATTTAGATAAGATTACTATTTTATTTTAAGACTTCTAAATTAATTAAGTTTCATATAGCTTCTTAATGAACTCAACATTCCATTTTAATACATATATTTCACTTTGTTATTGCTATCATAAGCATTTTATTTTTCATTTTTACTGTGGTTCTTAAAACCGTAAATGTATAAGTACACTCAAGTCTTATTCATTTATCTGAAAGCTTCACATGGTTATCTTTAGCCATTTACACCTCCTGTTTTTAGAGCTATATTGTTCACATGCACATGTGTAGCTGTCATATATGAAACTTTTTGAGTTTTAATAGCAGTATGATATGATTCACTAAGAATAAAGCAGTAATCTATTTGTAGGTTCTATCAATGGAAAAAATATTATCAAAAGCACCAAACACTGGTTACCTGCTAGTGCCCATTCACCAGTGCCGTGGGAATGACCACTGTAATACAAAACGTAAGTATCATGTCTGGGTCCATCTGCAGTCCGAAGTTCAAGAAAAGATTTCAGCTTAGAATGAAGTGTATCAAAAGAAAGTCCACTTGTAGAATAATCACAGCCATATGTTTCAATCATGTGATAGGCAAAAAACGTCTGGATGGTATTGAGCATGCCTGTAGACCTCAAATTTAACTCTTGCACATGCTCAGGTGGAAGAAGTGTTGGTTGGCCATCAGGACTAAAAAGAAAAAATATTTAGTTATATTTTATTACTGTATTCATTACATACTTGTAACAACTGGTGAAATCAGTTCTCTCTACATGTGGAATATTTTGTTCACTATTGACATTTAAGTGTTTAAGTACTTCGTTGAAATACTTACTGCAAGGTTTGAAATCAAACTGCATTTAAAAGTGATTTTGTAAACCACTAGAGCATATATGTCAATAAACACATCACAAAAGGGAATCAAGATTGTATCTCCCAAGCTAGCAAGGCTCTGCTTAGCCACTAGGAGGAAGAAAGCACCAGTCATCACTTTCCAGCAATGCACTTCAATAACTGGTAAGAAAGAGTTTGATGGAGAATTGTATCAAATCTTTTTAGTTGGGTAAGGCGGTAGTGATGCACAGACTCTGCAAGATGGAAATGTGAATTATTCTGACTCTACCATTTGAAAAAAACAAAACACAAAAAGACCCACAAGCAAAAGAAATGTGATTTTGGTGGAGATTTTTCCATTGCTTTTGTTCAAAATAAATTTTAAATAATACCAGTTTCCTTTTTTGGCTAAACAGTTTTGGTTCTGCATCTCCTCACTGTTATGGGCCCTAAATTGGTTTACATTGCACTGATATAATTGTATTAAAGTAAATACAATATTAATATTGCTTTTGCTTTATCTGCTCAATTAGAGAATGGTCTTATTAACTGAACTCCATTATTACTATTATTATGAAAGGGCAACATTGCCAATGCCTTACACACTGTTTTTCAAAACCTTACTCCAATTTCTCCATGGATAAACTAAACATCCAGACATACAATAATTTAGCACATTGCAGGAACTGGATTATTGCCGAGGACAAGAAAGGCAAGATTATTTCTTCTGTAATGTTAAGTTTATTATAATTTTTTAAAACCCTAACAATAATAGACCAAGAAGGATATTATGCCCTCAGTTTGGTAGCTGCAGAATATGGGCTGCTGAAAACATTGCAAGAACAAAGCTCATGAAGTTGCTGTTCCACTGATGATTTTATAGAGAGTAAAATACAAATCATTGTGCATTCTAAATGGAAAAGATGCAACAATATACTACAGGGTCAAATTCACTCCTATTAGGATTATTGTGTCACAGGAGCTCTAGCAGTTTTAATTTACTATTGTCCTGGTAATTATATGATTAATTAATTAGTGTTAAAGTTTGCACTTTGGAACTGAGGACTAAACCACTAGACTCTCTCATCTAGACTGCAGAACAACTGTCATTTAATTCTCAAGGGTTTCATCACTAAGCCCATGGACCTGTGCATCTCTATGAAGCACATGTGGCATTCATGGAGAAATTTCTTTCAAGTTACCATTCAGCCCCAGTACTGTTCTAGACAGCATACCTCACGTGTTCCTCAGACCACAGCTGCCTCAGCCCCCACACCTTGCACAGGAGTCTTCCCCCGCCCCCACCATTGTGGTTTGAAGCAGCATAAGTCACTTCACTTCTGAAGCAAGGCAACCACTTGTCCCCTCCAAACTCAAAGTCCCAACTGAGGGGCTTCTGTGGAGTTAGGAGGGTACAGCATCATGAAAATGCAGAATTTTTCCCATCCTCAGCCATAATCCATGGTTGCAGACTCCCTTTATATAGTTAATGAGACGGAGGAGCACAATGGCCATCATACATCCAAGAAATGATTTTAATGGAGAAACACTTCCATTAAAAACTATTTATATGATTACTAAATGTACAGATAAACAGTTGAACAGTGAAAATCTTCATTTATTCAAAACCATGGCATTTTCAAATGATTTTAATGGTATCTAACAACCAAACAACAGCACAAGCTTTTTTTTTTTTTTTTTTTTTTAAAAGAATTTGACTCCTTTCTTTAACAAAGGTACCATACTCCAACCCCTTCCCTCCAATAAAGCCATGTCCCCCATCATCCTGTGATTTTTTCCATGCCCATTAAATCCACAACTATAGCAAACTGAACAGTTTTCATACACATCCAACTTGCAATCCCATTTCCCTGTAATATGCATGGAAGATATGCATTCCATGAGTTCTCGGGTGTCAATTTTCAAGATAAAGCACTTTAAATTATAAGAATGGGATTCAAATAGAATGTTTCAACTTCAGAAGCTATGGTTTGTAGCTGTATGAGTATGTAAATGATTAGTACCAAACAAAAAAAATTGCCACAATCTTTATTTTGATATGAATTGCTGTAAATACATAAATAATATGTAATGTATAAGTAATCCTAAATCACTCACACCTACATATTTTCAATAATGAGACTCAGTTAAATCATTCTCTTACAGTTTATAAAGTTGTTCTAAGCATGAGTTCACTGCCTACTTATATTAAGTCTCTTTACATAAAATACCTGCACTGACTTCAGAATCTAAGGCCCTGACCTTGCAACATACATCACATGAAATCAGCAGTCTCTTTCATGTAGTACATTTTGTAGAACTGGGGCCTCTTATACATTCTTAAAAGCAAGTCAATTGTATACAGAATGTAAATCTGTATTGTAAGTATTATAGGAGAGCTCCTTTTCAGAGGGTTTCATGATTCCTTAGTTGTCGGCTGGGGGATTATTCTCTACCATGGACTTTCCCCATACCCTTGGGTTTATGGTCCCAGCCTCACTGATGGGAGGGGGAAGTGGGCCTCAGTCTCTAGTAACCCCTCTCGCATGGTGGCAGAAGGTCAGTCACACTGTTTAGTTTCTCCCCCTCTGCCAGGGTCTTTTTCTCCAAACCTCCAAGGCCCAGAAGGGTTGTTCACCATGCTAGGCAGAGATTCTCCACTCTTTGCCTCTGTATCTGTGATGTCTCCCTCTTGGCATATGTCAATATCTGCACCACTCAACTCTGCAGTAGCATGCTTAATTCTTACAAGTCCTACTATCTAACTGAAGGGGAGGCTTTTAACAGGTTCTAGCAGGACCGGGATTGGTCCCAGGTGTCCTAATTAACCTAAAGTAACACCTGTTCAATTACCAGGGAAAAAGCAACCTGCTTATCCTGAGAGACAATACTCAACTTCTATCACCCTCCTATAACTATCTGACCTGACCCCATCACAGTATTTAAATATTATTTTTGGAAGGTAAGGATAGGTAAGGAGAATAATCATTCAAACACAGCCATCTAACATCTAAGCTAGTATTTCATAGCTGAAAAGCAAGCTACACCACTTGATTGCCTATGTCTAACAGCTGCACTAATTACAATAAGTTGCAGTATGCAAACATTTACCATGGCAACTATACCTGCAGAAGTTGGTGGGAATCACAACAGCATATCCCACACATGTTCCTCCCAAGCAGTTCCCCAGTTCATGGAAAAGCCCATGAGCCATAGACTCCAGAGGTAAAACAATCAGAAACACACTCATAAAGATCCCATTCTTTGGCTAAAAAGAAAATAGATATATTTATGTATTATGAAATCCACTTACAAATTAAAATGAAAAAAGCTAGGATTTTCTTTAAAACTTACCTCAGTGATTTGTGAAAATTACTTGAGCAAATCTAATCTGATGCTGAAATGCCAGGTGCAAATAATTATAGGCTACAGTCAGCCCAAGACAAACTTAATTACACAGTTAAACATTCTAAAAAGAGTCTTTGGGCCAATTTTACTGGTAGCAGAAGGAGAATCACTTCCCCAGAAATAAATGTATTTGTACCTCTTTAGGTAAGCACTGAATTTAGCCCCAAAGTCCTGATCCTGCAAACATTTAAGTACATGATTAGTTTTTAAGTTCTTGTCTTAGAATACCACCAACTTCTATGGGGCTAATCATGCATGTTAAGTTAAGCACATGTATAAGTAAGTGCAAGACTTGGGACCTAGGTAAAAAAGATGGAGAATCTTAGATGACAGTATACTACACCATGTAACAGGAATATAAAATTTAACTATTTTTTTTCTTCTTCCTTGCATGAAGATCTGTTCTACAAGTCCTCTCACTCCAAATGGGATCTGCTCTACAAGTCTCTCCCTCTAAAGTACTCTGTTCAATGTCATGTCCTCTATTACACCACCATACTAACGTGTCTTCCTTTATGCCATTTCACTCTTTCTTCCTGGGTCAGCTCTTCTTTTTCCTTCAGTCTTGATCTGTTGGACTTGTATAGTTGTATGATTTGTGCTTAATGTGTCCAATATATAAAATTCAACTATTATTCAGCCTATTTTGTTGAAATTTTAAAAGCACCTTTGGTATTATTGCCTCAGTATCATACTCTATAATATGACTGTACCAAGCAGAACATCAGGAATACTTTCAAAGCATTTTACTTGACAATGATATTTATCAGATGCAGAAAACCAATACCTGGCCCTAAAACTCACTGAAATCCTACAGGACTGCAGCAGACAGACAAAACCAGTGATGGGCAACCTGCAGCCCACTAGGTTTTATGTATGGCCCACGAGACATTTTGTTTGCCATTGTCCAGGCACAGGGTTGTCAAACTCTGCTGGTTTTCATCTGCATAGGTTTTTTCCTACTATTATTACAACAGTGACACACACTTGAAGCAAGGGTATGTGAAATGAGGTGCATACAACATTGTGAGAACCATGCACTCCTTCCACATCCAATCGAAGTGCTGCTATGGTTCAGCTGGAACACCCTGAAAATTCTAAGTACACAAGCACAATTAGCAAAACTACCCCATACCTAGAGGCAATTTTGATCACAACAATCTTGAGGGCCACTCAAACGGCCCACTCTCTAACTTAGGTTGCCCCTCACTGGCTAAGACTGCAGTCTGAGTAGATGAGGGGGAAGAGGGACAGAGAAACAAATGGAGTAGTAGTGAGTAATTATGAGAGCTGACCAATAACTAAGGAGAAGCAAGGACGTAGGAGGAGAGCGAGAAGGCATCTCAAACTGGATTAAGTACTGGAGAACGATTTTAGGGAAAAGAGGAGTAATGAGAAATAAATTAATGAGAATGAGTGGATAGATTATAAAAGAAATAATGAGATAGAGCACATGCGTCAAGTCAGGAAGGAGAGATACACAGAGGCTACGTCTACACTGCAGGCTTCTTGCGCAAGAACTGTTTTGCGCGTGAGTTCTTGCACAAAAGGTCTTGCACAAGAGCGCATCCACACTGCCATGTGCTTTTGCACAAGAGATGTGCTTTTGTGCAAGAGTGTCCATGGCAGTGTGGACACACTCTTGTGCAAGAAAGCTCTGATGGCCATTTTAGCCATAGAGGTTTCTTGCGCAAGAAACCCCTGTTGCCCATCCACACTGCCTTCTTGTGAAAGAGGGCTTATTCCTCGTGGAGAGAAGAATAACTCTTCTGCAAGAAGCCCTCTCTTCTGACGCTTTACTGTAAATTTAATTGCGCAAGAACACGCGTGCAGTGTAGATACTCTGCAAGTTTCTGCGCAAGAACTGCCGTTCTGGCGCAAAAAGCCTGCAGTGTAGACATAGCCAAAGTGAGAAAGACAGAGAAAGAGGGACAGAGGATTGGTGATGAAATTTCCAAGTGTGTGTGTAAAGTAAGGGTTTGGCAAAACATGAGGGGGAGAAGAGATCACAGTGCACGAGGAAAAAAAAGACAGGAAGGGACTATTAGAGAATAGAAGAAAATAAGGAACCAATGACACTAAAAAAGCCAGAGGGAAAGATACACTAAAATATATAATAGGAAAAAAATGAAGTTAAAGAAGAACAGAAACATGAATCACATATAAAACAGCTAGTTAATAGACAATTTAATGCAATAGAACCCAAACTTGTAAACATGTATATAGTCTAGCTTTGCAAACTCAACAACTTAGACCAGAAGAGTAATGTATTTTGAAGCGTTAAGTACAATATCACAAAATCTTTATTACTCTCAAGGTAATTGGAAAGCGAGGTTTTTATACTAAGTTTTCATGACAGTTTTTCAAGAGTGGTTGAAAGTGAAACACATGCGCACACAAACAGTACAATCTCACTAATTCACACTAGACTGGAAGACACAGTGCAATTTAAATGAATAAATTAATAAATGCTTAAGAATAATGTAGCACAGTGTATTTTGTTTCATTATTTCAGAAATGAAAACTTAGCTTTATTTGACTACCTTGTAATGTACTATTCAGAGCCTTGTAGTACATCTCGTAAAAACAAGTTTCATATTTCTAGAACTAAATTAACTATAGCAGTGTATACTCAAATCTTTTGGGAGAAACATTTTTTTATTTGGACTACGAAGTGAGTAGCGATTAGCTTGCAGAATGATGCAAAGATCTCTCTTTCTCTGAGGGAATTTATTTCTGAATCCTGATAGTATTAAATATTATTCCTAGAAAGAATGAATTTATCTCAAACTCAGAAATATTCTGAAGAGCAATCTTTTGCCTTTGGGATAGAACAAATGGCAATGTTTGACCTACATATTCAAGAGTTTCTGATAAAAGATCTTCCCAGGACTCCCAGACACATAAGGTTGTCTAGAATTTAGTCATCATTTTGTGGATTACTATAAGTGAGATTATCTGAATCAATCACCTGCATGTTCTAGTCTGGCCATGAATCTAAGGATCCAATTACGTGCACACTTACATGCGTAAAGTTACTCATGTGAATAAATTCTATTGAAGTCACAGGAACTGTGTGAAGTGGGACTAAAGTTTCTCAAGTGTAAGTTTGTGCAGGAACAGACCCTAAAGATTTTATAGGCAAGTAGATCTTCAACAAACTTATTGTTCCTGGATACTCAAATAAAAAGTCATCAAGAATGTCTTTTTTTTCCTTTAGTTACCTCAGGATTCCTTTCAGAAGCAAAGTAAACTATTGCAACATGCCCTACCTGAAAGCTGCACCCTGTTCATCATGCAGTAGCTCAAAAAAATGGTTATAAGTTATTCTAACTGGCCAACAACATTAAATGCAATTTCATTCATCATATGAAATTACTCAAACCCCCCAAAGTAACAAAAATCACTGGAAACTATAAGTGATGTTTGATCATACTTTGCTGTTACATAAATTAGTGAACAGAAGCACATGGGCCTTTTGGGGACAGCTCATGCTAATCCATCAAGAGACAGATATTTTTAGTAGATGATACATGTATTGTAATTTTAGACTAATTTACTGGTTACTTAATAAAATATAAATGATTGTAAATTTCTCCTTGCTTCAATTCATCACTAGAATGACCTGGATTTTCTAAATGGGAAGATCTATTTGATTCCCCTTTCATATTGAAGTTATTCCTTCCCCAGCTGAATAAACAAGTTCACATTTCCTCTGCCAGATAGAAGTGATTTACATCTAATTAATTGGTCCCTACCGAAATAAAGACTTTCCAATTTCTACTAACTTACATGAAAATAAATGCCAAGATCTTAAGAGAAATAGGCCTGTTTGGTTCTCATGAACTTTCACATGCACTAAATATTCAGGATACAAGTGTAAAGCATGCTTCTTCTGCATTACAGATACCTGAAAATGTGCAACTGCAGAACTGTTTTACTTATTTTCAAGAATAAATATAGCTAAGATAGCCATCTCAGATTAACTTGAATCACAGAAACTGTTCATAATTCTCAAATGAAAAATCAAGATACTTTAAAGTAGCATCATATTTACCATGTAATGCACCCTAAGATTTTAAGAAAGATAGGATAAAAGTGGTTTCAGCACTTCACAAAATTCCTACCCTCCACTAGCCACATTTCAAACAGGAGGTTTGATCTCACAGTCCAGAATGTGATTTTCACGGCTGTGAGTTTAATAGGGCCCTAATATTACATATCATAAATGACATAAAAGAGTTATTTATAATATCAGGACGGAAAGAGATAAATATAATTTATTACCTGCCAAGTTACTGAACCCAAAACTGCAGTTGCAAGGAGACTGAAAAATACTAGTTGCTCTGAAATTAAACAAAAATGACGCATTCCTTTAGAAGCCATGACACGATCAAGGCTATTATTCTCTGCCCTGTGGGTATAATAGACTTTATGGCAGTCATTTAATTTTGTATGAAATCCCCAAAGAGTTATAAGAAAAATAATGTGGCAGATCATCCAGAAAATTCCAAAAATGGAAAAACCAGGTATAATAAAGTACCAGAGACCCAAGTCGCCTAATTTAAATGCTGCTAGAACAAAAAAGATAAGTTCAATTACTCCAACAGAGATAACCGAAAGCCTTCTGCAAATTCTACCGCGGTACAAATAGGGCTTCCATCGTTCAGTAACTGAAAGTCCACTGAAGTAGACATCAAGAAGAGGGTCTGAAATCAGGCAACTAAAGAAACAGGACAAGGCAAATGGGTTTGTGGGAATGTTGAGGGACGGAAAAAACAATAAAGATGCTAGAGCTCCAAAAATTGCCAAATTTGGAATTGCCAAGAAAGACTTCATCCGCAAGTCAATAATCAGCATGGCCAAAGCCACAACTAACAAGATGATACTTATGGATTTTTCAACCAACATAGTTGTGCTTGCAATGGCAAATCCAACCAGCTCCAGAAATTCAACTGTTGTCAGCAGAGTCGGTCGATGATGGACACAGCCGCAAATCCTCTCCACCAAAGCATACAATATCCTTATAACTATGGAAGTAAGGAGCAAGTATTTGGTTGCTTCTTCTTTCACATCGCTTTTAAAAGACGAATTATCAAGAAAACAGAGGAGGCCAAGCAAGAATCCAAACCAAAGATTGGAGAGAGACAAACTCGCTGCTTCCATTGAAAAATAATAATAAAGTATGCTGGCAATTCCAAGAACAAAAAGTCCCAGGATAAAGATTACCAGTATTAGTGCATCTGCAGTCTTCTCCCACCTGACATAAAGGCCCAGACATATAGCAACCAATAAGTTGATCCTGGCTAAATAGCCAAGATATCGGACTGATGAATGCATGTTCACTTCTCTATTTGCTTCTTCCAATCTTGTCATTGCTGCATAGAGACAGTGACTAACACAGTAACGCAGTGATCTACACATGTAAATAAGCAATTATGGGGTTTTACCCACTCCACAAAAAGTAACTGGGTTTCATCCGAAAAATGCAGTGCAGCAATAGCCTCCTGCAATGTCATTTCATCAGTAATAGTCCTGGATTATAGAAGTCCTGAAAGAAGAATGAATGAATATATCAGTGCTAAATTACATACTTTAAACTTATTTACTAACATATTAGATACTCTCCCTGTCCCAAAGAGTTTACAATCTAAATTCAAAATATACAATATCAATAATATACGTGTAATTTTTAAGTATACGTTCTATAACTGGTGGATCACTGAAACCACTATGAATTGAAATGCTCATAAATCTCATCTCATAAAAACTCCTCTATAACTTAGCTAATCAAATCATAACTGATAAAGTCTTTTCATGAATCTACACATTCCAAAATATTCCTTTGACATTTCTGTAAAACTCTAGTATCTGTCAATGGACAACTTCCTAATCTTCTTATTTCAGTAAAATACTAAAAAGAGAAAATTATGAAACATGCTAAATCCTTAACTCAGATCTATTGTTTCTATTATGATCACTCCACATTATTTCAAGTAAAATGAAATTCCTACTTTTTTATTAACCCTTGTTAATAAGGATGTTACGGACTAGTCAATTATCCGATAAGCAAATGCTTATGGGATAGTCGAATCGACTAGTCGATTCCCTCCACCTCGGCGTTTGAAAGCAGTGCCACATGGAGCCTGGGGTCAGCTGCTCCACGTGGCATTTCAAAGTGGCAGTGAAGTGGAGGGCTCTGACCCAGGCTCCATGAGAGTGCTTCCGCTTTGAAATGCGCAATAGCCCCCGCTGGTCACTCTTGTACATTTCAAAGCTGGTATACCAGCGTGCAGCCCAGAGTCAGCGGGACTTCCTGCTGGCTCCAGGCTGCACGTGGTGTTCCTGCTTTGCAATGTACAAGAGCCCTAGCGGGGGTTCTTGTACATTGCAAAGGAAGAATGCAGATGTGCCTATCGACTATTCAACTAGTAAATTACTCGATATTTAACATCCTTACTTTTTAGTATCCTTTGTGGTATTTATGTATATAGGTACTTAATAGGTCTATTTGGCTACTGAAGTATCTGAAAGCTTCAGACACATTAGTAAGTTGATCCCCACAACACACTGTGAGATTATCTCCATTTCACAGATTGAGAACAGTGATCCCTCTAAGATTTTCCATCTATGAACAGAGTGAGTTTTGTCTTGTGCACCAATACTGAGGTCATGTTTGGATGTGTGCCACCGTTGCACCCACCAGTTACTAACAAATATCATATATTTTGTGTGTGTACATGTATATTATGGAAGAAAGAATACTAAAACAGCCCTTTCCCCCACGCATCATTATTATTATGGCTGACCCTAAGTGCCAACGTATTGTATATTTGTCCTGCAATCTGCTTACTGACAACCCCTGCGATTTTATATTTCTGCTGCAGATGTGATTTAATCTTGGCATCAACGTTTCTGAAAAAAAATCTTATTCAAGCTAGAAAAAAAGCCCAAAACAAAGCAGGAAATTTTTCATTCTCAGTGAGTTTCAAAAGTCTGCTAGACTTTTCCCTTCCCATTAGACACACTTTGGGAAAAAGTTGTAGCCCACAGCCCTTGGAATGATTACCTCTATCAGCCCCGTGGGACTGCTGCAGCAACATCAGCTAAACTCCCACCCATTTCCCTTAGGATAGACCTTGACTATATTTTTCCTCCTTTCAAAGCAGCTCCCAAGCCGTCCTGATTAAAATACTGGAGCAGCAGCAGCAACCTATACTGTGTCCCCGCTCCACACAAACTTTCTATATGCAGTTGTGTCCTTCGGGGATCAGTCCATCGCTTTCCATTTAAGGTCTGCAGCCAGCACCCCTCTCAGATCTTTTCCTGCTCTCTGCAGCAGACCTGGGCTCCCCCATTCCTCCCTGTGTACCTGGAAGCTGGGAAGAAGCCTCCCCTTGAAAGAGATACAGATCAAGCAGAAGCAGGCAGCAGCAGCAGGCCCTACTACAACGTAACTTTCTTAGCTATTGCCCTGCCTATGCCTCCATCTTCTTCACCCCACACATCTGGAGGGGTGTTTGGGGCGGAGCCTGTGCAGGGATCCCTTGACTGATGCTACTTCAAGGGGTTTGACACCCACTTGCCTGTGGGGCCCCCCCCATTTCCCATTGCCTGCCATGACTGCAGCAGGGCCTCACACAGTGAAACAGAGACAGTTGCAGGGTAAGGCAACCACGCACCCTGCCTGCCTACTCAGACTAATTTCAATGCTTCCTTGTAGTGGGAACATGCGATTTTGGTTTTTTTTAAATTGGAATCCCATTGCATGGCCATCTCCCTACGCCTACAGGCACATCCCCTGCTGGCTTTGCAGGGCCATATGAGGCTCCCCACTCACCCCGTACCACTGCTGGCTGCTCCCTCAGGGGCAGGGAGGGAAGTTCCCTGCAAGTCTCTGGCACAGTGCCCACTTCTCGCAGCCTGCCCCATATCCCGTCTTGCTCATAAGCTGGGCACTGCTCACTGGCACCTTCCCAGCCCCGGGAGTGTTGCCTGCCCCACTGCAGCTGGTGGAGGACCTTGCCTGGACTTGCAGCTGGCCAGTAGGTGCCTGCCTGATGCATGGCTGCAGTTATGGCTTCAGCTGGGGCCGCCGGAGCATTCGACACACAGCTCTGGTTCCTGCCACCAGACATGTGGCTCAGGCCCCGGTCACCAGAGCAGCTGCCGCTCAACATGTGGCCCACACAGCTCCAGCCCTGGGGAAGGGTTGATGCTAGGGCCAGGGTCCCATGGTGGCTGCCCTGCTGCTCCTGGGGCAGGAAAACCACCCACCACTGGCCACGCCCCAGAGTAGCTGAGCAGCCACGGCGTGACTCTGCTGAGGAGAAGGGCAGGATGCAAAGTTTTGGTGTGTGCCCATGCAGGTGCACACCTTAGAGGGAATACTAATGGAGAATGAAAGCATAGTGAAATTAACAGACTTGCTCAGTGTGTCAGCCAGGAAAACCCTGAGACTTCATGAGCCCAAACATGATCCCAGGGCTTTACTGACAAAACTATCCTTTTAATCTGAAAGTTCTCTGGAAGAAAAAGACAAATAACTATCAAATGTCTTTCAGACAGATTGTGAAATCAAATTTCTACTTATCTGCCACCAAGAAATGAAAAATTTCACCAGAATAAAGACTACTACATTTACAATCTGATAACTATTTCACCACTTTGTAAATCATTGCCTTATTGACCAGATGTAACTCAGATGTTCAGTTTACAGCCGCTCCCCGAGTTGCGAGCGGTCGAGTTACGACCGTTCGCACTTATGACCAAAACTCCCACGGAGCGGTCCCCGAGTTACACGCTTACGAACAGCGCGGTCGCATGTAACTCAATGGGGTCCGAGTTACGAACAGATCGAGTTACAGCCAAGTGTTTGGTTCGTAACTCGGAGAGAGGCTGTAATTTGTCAGATCCTAGGGGGGAAGAGGAATACAATATTTATGTGAAAAACTTGTAAATATTTTTGCAATATACTAACTCAAAAACTGCCATACAAAACTGACCATGACAGAGACCAGTATTATTCTATAGTGAAAATTTCTTCCTGAGCCTAAGTTCGGGTCTATACTAGTGCTTTATTTCGAAATAACCTCCCTGTGGTCGAATTTATAAGCAGAGTCTCCACACTACCAAGCCCGATATTTCAAAATAAGGGGCTGCTTCAGCTGTACTTCTGCTTTTCTCAGGGAATAATGCTAATTTCAAAATAGTGTTAGTATGGATGCTCCGGTGCCACTATTTTGAAGTAACTGCTCCCCAGAGTAATTCTAACTAATTACTCCCCAATGCTTCTTGAGGCTCAAAGTCAAGGTAGCACGTCCACATCAACAGAGCTTGCCTCAGATTAATTTCAAGGTTTCTTCGTAGTGGGAAAATGCTATTTTGTTTTTCTTTAATTGGAAGTTTTTAAGCTGAATTTAGTTATTTAAAAATAGTTTCCTAGTGTAGACATGGCCTTAGTGAAGACTTATTTGTGGCTTGAAGCAAGAGGACTGGTGTAATATTTTAAAATTTGAATCCTACTTAGCTTAAATTAAGGGTGCACAAAAGGGCCTCTGCAAGAAGGTTGATCTGGCCCATGGAGGCCTTGCTGCTCCCCTGCCCCCAGGAGAAGTTTCCTCCACCCTGCCAGGAGCATGAGGCACTTTGAAGCACCATGCGTTCCTGGCAGAGCAGGAGGAAACTTTGCATGCTCCACAGGCCCCAAGCCCTGACTGGCCTGGGGGCAGGAGAGTGTGAGAAGTTTCCTCTGCTCAGCCCCCGCCCTGCAAGGAGCACGTGGCACTTAGAAGCACCACATGCTCCTGGCAGGGCAGAAGGAGGCTTCGCATGCTCCCCACCCCCATGCCCTGATTGGGCTGGAGGTGGGGAAGCATGGGAAGTCTACTCCCACCGCCAGGGGCATGGGTGCCTAGGTGGAGCCCGGGGGCAGGGGGGGGCTCCCCCACTCCCAGACCAATCATGTTCTGTGGGCAGGGAAGCATTCTGGCCCCACCTCTTCTGCTTGAGGCTCCGACCCTTCTGGAGTGGCAAAAAATTATTGCCCACCCTGGCTTAGATAATATTATATATTAAAATAGATGTTATATTTACTATAATTGTTCAAATGCAGCTATTTGTTTCAATACCTATTAATTTAATAATATTTTGAGGCAAATGTATTTCTTTGTATTTTAAATGTTCAGTGGGTAGCCGAGTTAGTCAGTTACAGAAAAAAAAAAACAAATAGTGGTCTGATAGCACTTTATAGACTTAACAAAACATGTAGATGGTATCATGAGCTTTGGTGGGCACAGATGGTCATCTAAAGAAGTGGACCTTGCCCACAAAAGTTCATGATACCATCTACATGTTTTGTTAGTCTATAAAGTGCTACCAGACCATTTGTTGTATTTTAAAACTCTCTGACTTTTCCTGCATTT